GCCTCATGTATGGCAGACCTGGCCATTACATACTGTTTGCTAGAAGGGAAGGACAGTCGTGTATAATATCTGTAAGCTAAAGGGTGTTTGCAAAAAACCCAGCAAAGATGTGTTTGTGTCAGAAAAGGACTTTTTTTGGTCCTGTTTGTTTTAAGGAACTTATACAAGCTACACATGCAAAGGCACGGTGGTTAGCGTTCTCTGCATGCTGTCCAGAAGACAAGGCCTTACTGGGGGCAAAAATGAGTTTGCAGATCAGCTTACATTCAAATTGTCAGGCCATGGGACTGTGCATTGAGACTGCTGAGCAAACTGAGTTCTTGGACTGACTCCTGGATGGACTAAAATAAGGTCTGAGAGAACAAATTACACCTGTCAACCAAAATGGAGAGTCTGCTCCAAGTTTTTAAGAGGGGAAAAGAAGTTGAGGCAGCTGTAGGGACTATACTTGCAGGTAGCGGGAGGAACTACCAGATGTCGGCACTAAAAGCTGCTTCAGCAGCAGGGTTTGAAGCATGAGCGGTAAATGCAGCTGATGGTCTGTGGTTGCTCCGTATAGAAAAGTCTGTTCTTGCTGCAGTGCTGTAGCATGAACAGGGCTGAGTCACGAGCTGTCGCATGTTCCACTTCTTATTTCCTTTTTCCACAGCTTTTTTTCCACTGTATACCTGTCTTTTAACTCGGACGCTGTCAAGTTGAAAGCTGTGTGTTTGAACCCCCTCTATCATTTGGCAGGTTTCTGGCCTTGTTGGTATATATATATATTTTTTTATAAGGTGGACCTTTTTAAAAGAGTAGAGGCAACTTACTGGTACATGTATCCTCTGGAGCCTGGTGCTAAAAATGAATTTGCGGTGTTGCCGTTTAGCGGCTGAATGCCAGTGCGTTTCCTTCATTGTCACACATTCAGTGGTAAATGAAGAATGATTATTTCACCACTTTCGTGGTCGTTACATCTTCTGTCTCTCTTCATAGCAGGGAAACTGAAGCACAGCGAGATGTCAGAGGCCACACAGTTTGTTGGGGAGAGAATTTGGCCCTCCAGCTTGGGGTTTGTTTTTTTTGCTTGCCCCTTCCTAGATGTGCCATATCCTGGCTGCTGTAATTTAATGTGCACCATAAATGGTTTTTTTATGAGGGTGCAAAGGCTACAGATCAGACAGCTTGGTGTCAGCGAGCAAGAGCGGGGCAGCCGTTGAAATTTTCTGTTTGCTGTTGTGTAGCAAAGCTGTATTTCCAATAGGACCTTGGTAGCAGAGATAGGAGCCTTAAGGAAGGAAGGGCCTGACAAGTCACCAGGTTCATCTGCCTGCTAAAATGGATGTTTCGTGCTGCCTGTTCCCGGAAGATGTTTTACTCCTGTGTGCACCCCCTTTGGCACACTTTTTCCATGAGAAACCGCCTGTGACATGGAGCAGCTTATTTCCTTCCATTCTGCCCAACTCTTTCTTTCTTAGCTTTTCCTTTCCTTGTAATTTTATGTAATCTTTTATTTTTTTATTGAGCCACTTTTTTCTTGGGTGTTTCCAGCCTTCAGGGAGTCATTGAGTTTCGGTCTCTGATTTACTGGTGGTTGCTTAGCTGAGTTGTAGGCATTTAACATAGCCTCCAACCCAAGGAAAGATCAGAGTCCACTCATAAAACTAGTCTCCTGGGACTCTGGCCAGAGCAACACCTTTAATTGGAGGTGGAGCCCGTGGTCCCGGTAGTGCAGGCGGGTCTCATTCACTGCTACTTAAACCAACGTCTTCTTTGTTAAGCGTTGAGGATGGCAGGTTTGGGTGAAAGCTGAGGATGCTAAGGTGTCAGACTGGGACTGGCATTCCTCTCTTGTGAACTCTAGGGATGGTGAAGAAGGGGCAAAGTAATGTTCCCCAAATGGTGCCTGGCCAAATGGGAAGCTGAAAGTCAGTTTTCCCTCTCTAAGACAACCCACATGTGGTTGGTTTGTCTTTCCTGGCTGGCTTAGTTGGCATAAGGACCAAAGAGTGCGAGCAGCCATGACGTTATGAGCATTTAAACCATCTTTAGCGTTGGAAGGGAGAAGGGCGGTGTTCTTTTATCACAGCTAGGCAGCAAGAGAGTGCCAGTAAGTCTGGTCCAGGAGTATTTTTAGGTGTGCCTGGGGGAAATCCCATGAAAGTAGAAAGCCAAAATGTGAGTTCAGGTTAGCCCAGATGGTGATTTTACTTTCTTGGAAGAGGAGCGTAGGTCGGGGAGGTGTGCAAGACCCATCCAAAATCTAGTTCACTTCTCAGTGAGCACCACTTATGCCTTTTTGTGGTGGGGCCTAGATGGGGTCAAGCATCCGAGATGGCTTGGCAGCTGTCTGACTGAACCTGCTGGGAAAGCATATGAATTGCACTTGACATGGCAGATTCATAGATGTTAGGGGCTGGAAGGGACCTTACAAGATCATCGGGAGAGGTTTGCCTTGCGTTGCCTCTGGTTCGCTGGCTCGTTGGGGTAACAGTGCGCAGAGAGCTAGGTGAACTTCCCTCCTCCCTGTCCATCCAGTGCTTCATATACCAAGGGACTGTGCCTGTGCTTGCATAGCATTGGGCACATTGCGAGGTTGGAAGATTAAAGTAGTTTGGACAAACGAAAGCTTCTCAGAAGGAAATGGGCATTGCTGAAGACATTGCTGCGTTGTCCATATGATGCGGAATATGAATGTCCTTTGGACTGTGTGTTGACCACGAGCCATGTGTGGTTCTTACCCACCGTCCCATGGTGGCTGAAACAGCTGCCGGGAAACACCCTGGCTTCCCATCAATAACATCAGGGCTTCATACCAAAGCAATGCTTGTTTTGGCTCTGGCAATGTGCGTAAAGGTGTATAGCAGGTGCGAGGCGCTGTGGGATAAAGTCTCCTGTCCTTACTCGCACTGAGTGGGACACCTAGCCTTGCACCCTGTTGTCTCCCGAAGTACTGCCGGGGTGTCTAAAGCAGTTGAAAGAGCCATTGTTTGCCATTTCTAAAGAAGTCCCATCTCATCTGTGGACGCAGTCTATAACTGAGAGCGGGCCGCAGGCCAAACAAGCCGTGCGCTGATAACACGGCACTAATTGCCGGGCGAGGACGTGGCCGATGTTGGTCTGGAGTTTCTGCAAAAGGCAGCTGAGAGGAAGGAAGCAGCAGTGGCCACAAACAGGCAGCTGGACTGGGTGGAAATCACAAAGCATAAAGCTGGTCTTGGGGGAAGAGCAGTGACATATGCAGAGAAATGGAAGAGCAACTGCTGTGCCGGTCACTCTGGGGCCTGAGAGAGAAGGAGAAAGGGGAAGGGGAACTAAAATCACATGCACAGGCTCTGGCAGTCGTCTTGCATCTTCTAGGAGATAATTAACAGCCTAGCCCTGGGGGGCTCTAATACCCCATGAGAGCCAGGGTTTACCTGCCTCACGGAGGGGAGTGAAGTGAAAGGCAGACTTTTGTGGCAGTAAATGGGGAAGGTTGGGATCAGACTAACCGTGCAGGCCAAAGCAAGCTGCGGACGCCTTGTGGCCTGTTTGAAGGTGAGTGTCAGCACATCAGACCGTGGGAATGTCGAGCCGCGGTGGGTATTCAGACCATCTGATACTGAACCTCCTGCATCTTTTCTCTTTGTCTGAAGTGTGTTATGAGGTTTAAATTGACATCCTGCCAAGGTGGCCTTCCCCACAGGCTCAGCTTTCCCAAAGCCTCTGAAGACCGGCCAAAGGGAAAATGCATTTTGTGCAGAGAAGAAGGGTCTACAATGCTCTTTTGTTCAGCGCTCTGTGAGAGTGGCTATTCCCTCGGCACGGACAAGGCCGTTCAAACCAGGATGTGCAAATGGGAGGACTGAGCTGGAAAAATGGACTTTTGGCCGGAAACCAGCAAGGGGTTGGGAAAAGCCTGTAGAGAAGGAGAGATGACGGGGGGATTTGTGGTGTGTGTGGGTAGAAAGAAGGTTGCTATTGGCACTTGGGCTACATCTCTATTTTAGGTTGTCAGAGCCTTTCACAAAGGAGCCTGTGTGTTCTTCAGCAGTCACTTATTGGGGAAGGAATTCAGGCACGTAAACGCTGCGTAGAAGAGGATAGAGGGAATCAACCTAGGTGCTGCCTCCGGCCCAGCCCTGCAACCTGCCCAGTAGTCTGGAGGACTTCCCTGTACTTCTCTAACTAGGATTTAGGGTAAATCTGGGCAGAAAAATGCACGTATCCCTGCTCCTTTGCAGAGTTTGGCAGCATGCCGTCAGAGAGCAATGCTGAGCAGGGGTCTGCAGGAGTGTAGCCATAGCGGGCTTGGCTGCTTTCCAGCAGTATCAGTGTTTGCAAGAAACTTGTTTGTGGAAACCGTGTGATTCACAATTCCTTCTTTCTGGTCATGGCAGGAGAGACTGATATAGCTGGGCTTGGTTCCCCTAAATATTTGGACTAAGCTTTTTCTTTCCAGCCTGTAGAAGAAAACTGATTTTATAGTCTCTTTGTGCATCTGCGCACATGCTCCTTGACATGAGAACAAAATCTAAGAAGTGCGGTTTTGAAGCAAGCTCCAGGAGCTACTGCTTGTCCTCTCATTCTCCTTGGTGGAGGAGGTGGCCGTCTGAGTGGTGTGGTCCCTGTTTTGTGAGTGTTTTCGTGCATTCATGAGTCTTCCACCTTTGGTCTGTGCCATTGTTTGCATTTATAAGATGCCTCTGGCCACATGGGGTGACCTGCATTTAAAGTCCCGTGGTGGTGGTGTAGGTGTGGAAAAGCCTTTTGTTGCAGAAAGGGCACAGTGCACACAAGGTAAGGGGGGATTGAATGCGTGGTCCTTGGAGTATGGGTTGTACCAGGCAGCCTAGTAGGGTGTTCTCATGGCTTTCTGGATTGAGCATCCAGGGCGAGTCTAAAAGCCCCTCTCCAGTTTTTAGGATGTGCTGCAGCAGTGCCGATGATAGTGGTCTGCCTGGATTTGGGAAAGTGTTGGAAACTGTTATCCAGAAATATTTATAATATTCTATACACTTTTTTTTTTCTTTTTGCAGGCCCAAAATGTTCAGCTTAGCAAGGAAGTGACCCTTGCCAGCAACCGTAGTCTAGCAGAAGACAACCTTTTGTACCAGCCGAAACTGGAAACACTGAAAGCCAGCGTGATCCAGAAATATCAGGAGCTGCAGGTCCTTTTTGAAGCTTATCAGATAAAGAAAACCAAGCTAGGTAACGTATTATGCAGTAATGTATTTCCTGGGTTTTCCTGGACAGACATGCCTTGTCCTCTTAGATACACATCCCAGATCTGGGAGCTGCGCGGTTTAGAAGCATTTCTCAAGAGGAGCTGAAATGTCAAGTGGTCAAGAGTAGCTTCATTGAATGAGAGTGGAAAAATACTATTGTGATGGCTGTTTGAACAGCATGGCCTAGGGGAAAAGGAAGTCAGGGGCAGGTATATATTAGTGGGATCTCTGCGGTCACTTGAGAGAGATGCATTAGGCTAACTAATCTCTTCCCTGAAGGTGAGCAGAATTGTCTGTGTATTCTTAAAGGCAGCCCTTCTCTGCAGCTGTCCAGCAAGTGAAAGATCAGATGGCTTGAATAGGCTGACCAGACTTTTGCTCTGTACCTCTGTTATGAGGTGTTTGTCTCCAGTACGAACACCTTTGCCAGCTAAGCTGGTAACTTTTCAGCTTTTTCACTGGTAGCAGCGGTTCAAGCCCTGTGCCTGTCCTGAAAGTAAATTCTTAGGAAGCATCTCTGTTAACTTTCTGCTCAGACTTGTTCTGTCTGGAGTGGCGCAGGATAAACAGGCTTGTGTCTGGAAAGGAGTCTAGTGCTTGATGGAGCTGGGGCCAGGAGAAGGGAGCATCATCTGTGGCCAGCTGCTGTATATACTCCCCTGTTTGTGTCCTTGCAGACAGCCAATCCAGCAATGCTTCCCTGGAGACGCTGTTAGCACTGCTTCAGACAGAGGGTGCCAAGATTGAAGAGGACACAGAGGTAATGGCAGGACGCTTAAAATGCATAAGGGTAACACATGGTAAAATTTTGCAAGGCTTTTGATACACACAGCCATGGTATTAGTGGTGAAGATAATGTACCGTAAGAGGGTTTTGCTGAATGTGGCCTCAGCCGTCACTTCAAACTTTGTCAGGCAGCCTGGTGACTCAAGGCAAAGTGACCTCAGTTGACAAAAGAATGCAAGCTTGTTTTATATTTGAAGTGTTTCTAACAGCTTTAATGGTTTTTTCTTATTATCTAACTGGGAAAATGTGCCCTTGATTCTCCTGGTTTGTCTTACCCTAAAGCGCATGTCTGTGCAGAACTGTTTTGGTACAAATGTTAAGTAGGTGCACTGAGCCATTAGAGGAGGTGCGGGGGGGTATGGAAAACCACGGGCAAGATGGTTTGTCCTGGGTAGACTGATAAGGAGGGCTTGCCTTTGCAACCTTTGTGGCTGCTGCAAAGGTTTTCTCCCTTCCCATCCTGTGTAGTGGAACATACTGGGATAGGTTGTGTATATGCAGCACAGTGGCTTGGGGGCATTTCGTACTGTGGTGGGGAGGTGTGGACTCAAGCACGAAGGAAGCCTTATTAATAGACTCAGTGTTTCCCAGCACTGAACCATAATATGGGCTGACCAGGGATCTGGAAAGCTCTTAAATGGTCCCAAATTGCAGCTAGGGAAATGTCAGTTAGATATTAGAAAAAACTTTCTCACTAGGAGGGTAGTAAAGCACTGGAACAGGTTACCCAGAGAGGTGGTGGAAGCTCCATCCTTGGAGGTTTTTAAGACCCAGGTAGACAAAGCTTTGCTGAGATGACGTAGTTGGGGCTGGTCCTGCTCTGAGCAGGGGGGTGGACTAGATGTGACCTCCTGAGGTCCCTTCCCACCCTACATTTCTGTGATTGTAAATGGAGTCATCCCTGCCTCCCATGGTTAGGGGAATGCAGAGAGCCTCTGAGAGGCAGCCAGGCATTAGTGGGAGCATGGATGTGGCCCACAGTAGTCGGGGAGGAACTGGAACACAGCTAAGAAGGGAATCCCGAGGTTAGGCTTGAATTCTAGAGCAGGGTATGGTCCTGTCTTAGTGGAGAGAGGAGACCTGAGGAAGGGCAGCTTGTGCCCAGCTGCTTGTCTAGCTTCTCTCCCAACTAGGCATTTGGTGTAATAAGGCATCATCACAAAAGATCTCTCACCTCTTGGAGAGGAGAGGTGACCTTCTGAGGAGGGAAAGAAGCTGTGCAAGGTTTTTGTGGACTGTGGGTTTCTAACAGGTTGTTCCATGTCTGACAGAACATGGCAGAGAAGTTCCTGGATGGCGAAGTGGCTCTGGATTCCTTCATTGATGAGTACCAGAGCAAGCGCAAGCTGGCTCACCTGCGCCGGGTGAAGATCGAGAAGCTCCAGGACATGGTGCTGAAGGGACAGAGATTGCCACAGGCGCAGCTGCCCTTGCAGCCGAGAATGCCCGAGACCGCACCAGCGCCAGCCACCTCCTATCCTTCGGATGTGAGCACGCCTCCCTCGGTCATGCCCCGGCGAATACCGCCTCCACCACCTCCAGCAGTGCCTGCAGGACGCTTTCCCACTCCGTTTACTGCAGCCATGAGCTCGGGACCAGCCATGCCTTACCCGGGGGCTCCCTACCCTCCACTCCCCCCACGATCAGGATCAGGAATGCAGCTGGCAAGTCAGGTACCGCAGCCGGGACCCCCATCCCAGTTTGCCCTGCAGCACCCTCCGGCGCTGCCGCAGAGACCGCCGCCTCGCCTTCCGCCGCACCCGGGCTTCATCCTGCAGTGATCCACTCGGGGCGTTAGACTCGGGCATCGGTGCTCATGTTCCTCCTGTTTCTCCCTTGCCAGCGGTGTACTGTGGCCAGAGGGAAACCTCTGTGCCGCATGTGGCAAATGGCAAACTCCAAGCTGTCTGGCGGGGGTGTGGAATTGCATTTGGTCAATGTGATTGTGTTTTTTTTCTGGTTTTTTGTATAATCAAGGACTGCACAGACTATATATATTTTTTTTCTTTTCCTGGGGTAGGGATGTTGGGGTGGAGTTTTGTCAGTCTGGCAAGCTGTGGATTCACTTGTGTTATAATTCTTAGGTTCAGTGTTAGTGGCTGTGGCCCACTCAAACCAAGAGGCATGTCCATCTTGATGTGGTCCTGCTGCAGCTGGATTTGAGCACAGTTCAGCTGCTAGCATCTCAAACTCTATGGCTGCTGGTATTTGGGTAGTAATGATTGGATCTTACATCCGAAAGCTATGCATAAAGCTGCTGCAGTGGAAACAGTTGGCCTCGGTGGGAGTAAACCCAGCCTCCCCATCGGGTACATTCACTAACATAACATCCACAGTCTGGTCACTGGAAACGGCTCCCAAATGGAAAAGGCTGTGAATTGTTTTGAAGACATCGGGAGTGGAACTTCTGGCTGTTCTGTTCTGAGGAAGATGTAGGTAGTGCCAGTGTAGATATCAGTGGAAACGTCATGAGCCCTTGTGTGCGTTTCTCCATTTACCTTCCCCCGTTTTCTTCCTAAGTTGGGAGGGTGTCTGCCTTACTGAATCTGCCTTTGGGAGGTAGAGGAGAGGGGTGGTTGGGAGTGTTCATTCACTGACAGACCAGGGAATGGGATCCCAGGACCTGGAGTCCTAGGCATTCTGTTTTCATACCTTACTGCTGGATGGTTCTGTTCACCTTTGCAAAGCTCTTTAAATCTGCGTGCAGCCTCTGCTTCGTTGCTCGAGCGGAGGTATGATCTTCTCGTGGCCATCTTCTCTTGCCCAGCAGCATTGGTGTGGAGTCCAGCCTGGATGGAAGAGACAGTTCCTTGTCTTTACTGATGGTCCTGTTTGACCATGAGGAGAGCGAGCCTTGCAATCTGGCAGCTGGGGGTTTTCATTTTGTGCTATGTCCTCCTCCATCTGTGCCAAAGAGTGGGGGCACCTTCTTCTTTAACAGAGAGCAGTCTTTCACATCAGGGTGAGTGCTGTGGGCACGAGGGGATGCCTGAAGGCAGTGACAGGTGGGCATGTCAGGGAACATCCATAGATGTTACCAACCTCTTGTGTCACCTTGTCATCCAAGCAGCTAATGAGGTCAGTGGCCTAAGAAGTGTGCTCCAACACCAGCTCTGTCTCTTGCATGGAGGCACATGAGAGGCTCTGGGGCCTCTTTCTGCTGAGGGTGTAAACCGTCCATACGTAGTCATCTGGGGTTTTCCCCCCAACATGAACCCTGTAACTCAGCATTAGCTCTTCCTCCTGGAGTAGGGTAGTGATTTTGTGGCAGTGAACGTTTTAATTGGAAATAGCCTCCCCTGAAAACAGGGCGACTCTGCTGTCGCTCTCCAGTGAAGATTGGAGGTGGCCCAGTGGTCAGCGTGGCTGGCCCAAACGCAGTCCCCTGGGTAAGCCTGACCAGTGTTTGGAGTGGGGAAAGCCAGCCAGTGGTGAAACTGCACCCCTTGGACTGCTTTTACCTGGGTGTATTTTATAATCTAGGAACCGTGCAGGGTGGTTTTGTGAGCACGGACTTCTCTGAAGATGATTGTCCCATAGAACTTCATTGGAGAGCAGTTAATGGTGAACTGTGGTGTCTGTTCTGGAGATGGAGCTGCTGCAGAAATGACCTGCATGGTTTGAAGCAAGCCCTTGTCTCAAGCTATCGCAGGCAACCTTAGCGTATGCCTCGAGCCTCCCATGCAAGACTCTGGCTGGGTGCCTGCATGTTGGGATTGCCAGAAGCCTAGTAAAAGTAACTGGGTGCATCTGTCTTACACCAACCAAGTGCCAACTCCCCTTGTGAGGGTGGGAATATCCTCTGCTGGGCTCTCAGAGATGGGAGATGTAAGTGTACCATGGGCTTGCACTTAACTCACTTGCCCTCTCGGTGTTGCTAGGAAATAGTCCAAAATATTTTTACTACTAATTGTTTGAAGTTGCCTGCTTTTTAGTAACCTCTGTGGTGATGACACAGCCATTCAGGGATGCTTTCTCAAAGGAAAAATACTGTCTTTTGCAGACTCAGTGCAGGGAGAGGCAATGCAACTTTCTCTACGCAAAGCAATGCATTATTGCGCGTGCATGCAGCTGACGTGCCTTACGATCACTCGTGGTGATCCGAATATTGGCCATTGATTTCCGAGTCCCTTGTTTATCTCACTCCTTTGTGCTTTAAGGGCTCTTTCTTGCAGGGGACTTCCTCAAAGGGAAGATTTTTTTTTTGTTTGTTTCCTATTTGGTCACTCGGTCCTCTTAGGATAAGACAAGGCTGTAACAGCTGTTTGAATGTCTAAGCAGCTCAGTGGCTGGCTAGTGTTAAGCCTAGTGTTCTGGTTGAATTACCATGTGAGTTAATAGAGTCTCTCCTGCTGGAGCTCCTGCTGCCTCTGGAAGCTGTTGTGCCACTCGTCATGTGTCCTTGCAAAGCCGCTTATTGCCGTGCACCTTGCTGCCGTCAGGAGGAGTGCTCTAGGGAGAGGCATGAATCCTGCCCTCGTAGCTGCGACGCTACCCTGGTGGACGGTGGAGAAATGAAGGTGGCATTGCGGTGTGTGCTTTTGGGATTGTGGCAGGGAGCAGTGGGCACGCAACTTAGCTGCAGTAACAACTTGCCTAACCTGTGCACTTGGAGTGGAGGGCTCTGCAAAGCCGTCCTTCAGGAGGAGGCTTCTCCCCGCGCTCTCTGGAGTAACACCTGGCAGTGTTCGCTGTGCCCAGTGGGTCCCTGTGGAAGATTTAGATGCAGCACGTCGAACTGGGCAAGCTGCCTTGGCAGAAGGACCTGAGGCTCCTAGAAAGTATCAAGGAAGCAAGCCCAAAGTTGGTAGATTGTAACTGTGCTGACCAGCCAAGCAGCACCTGCCACCACCATGTCCTTTGCAGGATCGCAGAGGGAGGCCTCCACCTGTCTGGCCGAAGTGCCTGTGAAGTGCTTCCCAGGAAGGCATTGGCGTGAGCTTTACACTCGGTGCCCTTTCTCCTTAAGGATGGCAGTGGGCATCGCGCATGGAGTGAGGGGGTGAGGTGGCCCGAGGTCCCTGTTTGGACTCGGTTTCAGCAAACCGTAAGATCTGGACAGTGTTTGCTCATTCAACTTGAGAGGACTTGGTGTGGCTGGGTGGGATGCTGAGGCAGGCATGCTGTGGCTAACAGGGGCAGGTCCCATGCTTGGTAATGGTTTTCCCCAAAGGAGCGAGCAAGCCGTCAAGCCTGCGGTGCTGAAGGGACTGCGCATACTGTAATGTGCTGCAGTTTCTTGTCTTGTAGTGGCGGGTATTTCTGCCATGGAGGAAAACGTGGGGCAATGGCCTTGTCACATTTGATTAGGGGTGGCTTGACCTAGCCTCATTTCATGTGGAGTAAGTGGGTGGTAAGTTGAAAAGCTCTACAGGAAAAGAAAGTAGTCACTTTCCGTGCGTGGGGTGACAGGTCTGCTGCTGCCCTGTGAGGTGTGTGGACTGATATGCAGGAGCTCAGACCTGCTTCCCAAGGAGCTAAGAGGTGCTAACTTGCTGTAAGCAAGAGGAGAGGTTGGTGCTGAGCTCCTGATTAGGACACAGCAGGAGTTGTGCATGTGCACAGACCAGGGCAACGCACATGATGCCTGCCCGCTGCCGATGCAAACTTCTCCCTTTTGTGTGAGGGGCCAAGGAGGATGTCGGGAGCAATGCGGTCGACCTGACGCAGCATGAGACATGCTACCTCCTTTGCCAAGCAGCGCACCACACCAGCACCAGTCCCGTCTTGAAACACTGCTGCCTTGCATGTGGGGATATTGGCACAGAGTGGCTGGAAACCGGAAGGAGCTAACCAAGATTTGGCAACGTGGAGTACGCTGCGCTGTGGGTAGTAGTAAGTGTTCCTAATGTAACAATGACACTAAAGGTGGTGTTTGTGCTGTATACGTACGGACATTTTAGTGGCTGTGACCACTGGTGCATTTAAAAATAAATAAATAAATGATAAGCCAGAGCACGTTGGTGTCCTGCTGTCTCTTGGCCAGGGTTCGGTTGTGGTGCAAAGGAACAGCCTGATGCTAACACAGCAAAGCGGGCTGGGGGGTGGTGTGGATGGCTTGCTGGGAGGTGGCAGGTACTGGAAATGCTGAGGGTTTCTTGGGAAAGAAGCAGCTTAACTACAGAGCCCTGCGTTGCCGCCTCCGCACCTTGGGTAACTGGAACAGCTGGTGACAGGCGTTATAGACAAAGCAGCATCGTGTTTTTTGCCTGTTCTTTATGGCGACAAATGACCCTCATTCCAAGCTTGCTGCTTCTTGTTTGTGCCTAGGGAGGCCTCTGTCAGAGGGTCTCTGCCTGTGCATGTCTCGGGTGGCTGGATGGGGCATGTGGCAGTGGGATGAGGTGTGTGCTGTGGGAAATGAAGCTGGGTGCGTGCCTTTGGATGTCACTAACAGGCTTTTGCTTTCAGCAAACTGGGGTGCCTCATTTGTGGGCTTGAGGTTATGAAGAGTTGGGGTGGGGGCATGGAGGGGCTGCACAGCACAGTGACTCTTGAAATCCCCTCACTTTTCCCTTTCCAGAGCAGGGTAGCCACCCCACCTCTACACATCTGGGGCCTAACTGTGTCCAGGTGGCTCTGTGCCCTGAAAAGCTAAGGGTAGGGCGGTAACCTGGGAGGCACCTGGAAGATACCAGGTAAAGAGGACTTGAGGAAAACATGGTACTGGGGAGCTTCCCTTCTTCCCCGCCCCCCCCCCC